ATACCGGATCTTCAACCATTTTTAAAAAATTTAAAGAGTTTGATGAATACTTGTAGGTTTGAATTTTATGATAAATTATACGTATTTCTACCTGTCATAAAATTATTATATGATCTTTACTATGTAGATCATGTGCCACCCCCTAATGTGATCTACATCATGTGCACACAATTTTATTGGTCAAAATGTAGTACAAATGTTGTGTTACCAAAAATTATTACATCATAATACGTGAAAAAACAACATTTATGATTATACGAGTTTGTTTGTTTACAAAATTTCAGTTTCTCTATTCATAGTTAGCTTATTAAAATGCAGTCTAAGGGTAAACTTGTTACAAACCCAAGAGCCAAAACAACATGTAACCAAGATTATTATTGGAGTTTTTGATATTTATGACATATGACAAACAACAGCTGGAGAATTTTTTTGTTGGAAATATCTAAAAACAAAAAAACTCTATATCTATTCAACTTTTACCGCTGAAAGACTCGCCTATAATAACTACATGAAAGGTAGATAATATTAACAAATTTAATTAGAATGGTTTAATTGTATTTAAAATCTAAATATGTATGTTAACATAAAATTTAAAGTCTGGTTTTAAAAACTACAGAAAAAGAATTGATTGATCATCATATAGAAGTATGAAACTTTTTTTAAACTATATTACTATAGCTATAGTTTGTCATTACAACACACATATAAGATACATGAGATCACCAATAATATAGAATGGTATCGACCATGTGTGATGCGACACTGTATTTATATGTTGTGTTGCAATAAAATTATTGATGGCAATGCATGTTCTTTTTGATACCAGATGAAGTCTTATGATTGTCAGTTTATTTTTTTATTCATTATGATAACAATAAGTGATATTGGTATTATTGTCATTACAATACACATATAAGATACATGAGATCACCAATATATGGGATGGTATCAACCATGTGTGATGCGACACTGTATTTATATGTTGTATTGGAATGAAATTATTGATGATAATGTATATTCTTCTCGATACCAGATAAAGTCTTACAATTATCAATTCATTTTTCATTCATTATAACTATTGTCATTACAACACACGTATAAGATACATGAGATTACCAATAATATGGAATGGTATCGACCATGTGTGATGTGATACTGTGTTTATATGTTGTGTTGGAATAAAATTATTGATGATAATGCGTATTCTTCTCGATACCAGATGAAGTCTTATGATTATCAATTCATTTTTCATTTATTAAGACTATTATTACAACACATGTATAAGATACATGAGATCACTAATATATGGGATGGTATCGACCATGTATGATGTGATACTGTGTTTATATGTTGTATTGGAATAAAATTTTGATGACAATGCGTATTCTTCTAGATACCAGATAAAGTCTCACAATTGTATTTTATTTTCATTTATTATAGCAATATTGTATACTATATACTATATAAAAAGTGATATACAAATATATATATATATATTAATTACATTCTTATATCTTTTATTACTAATAATTTAGATGGCTAAAAATATAACATACTTTCATGAATTAAAAGAATGTTTATTTACTAAATTTTCCGAATATATCATTTCAGCACTTAATCAAAAAAAATGATCGCTTATAGCAAATACTGAGAGTAAACTAGTTGTTGTGAAAAGAAATCCCAAGACAAACCAAAAAAAAAGTGCAGTACTAAATGTTCCTTTGCTTACTTTATTGAAAAGATATCACAATCTCTACAGAGCCTTGATAATATGTTTAGTGAATATGAAAAGTTTAAGGTAAGTATAAAATTTATAATTGAAACTTACTGTGAATTATCTGTAGTCATTATTGCAGTAGAATCAATTCTCTTTTAGTACAATTCGCTAGTCCAGATTTTTAGCAGCTTGTATTTAGGAACAATTAAAAAAATTGTATTAATAGTAATGAAATACATACTTGGTTCAGAATAATAAAGTTGTTGCAAAAAACTTTTTTTGTTAAAGATAGTTTCATAAATCATGAAATTTGATTAGACTGATTATAATATATATATATTGTATATAACTACTTGTTAATTAATTAATAGGCTAGCTATAATTGGTTCCTTTCGAGAACAGAAGTTGGCTATAATGGCAAAATATTGTTATTATGATCATCCTTTACTTTGCTATATTGTTGACTTGACAACTGAGAATATGCAACAAAATCATCAATTACCTATTATTATTGCTTGATCAGAGACTTTATTATTACTAAGTGTTGAAGAAACATATGGGAATAGGTCTGCTATCACCAAACTGGCTCTAGTCTATATATATTCTTCTATATAATGTAAACTTCAAAAGGAAAATACTAATTTACTACAATTACAACTCAAACTCTGTATCTAAAAGTAGACTATTATTTACATAGCTGCAATGGAATACTGCTGTTGATGAAACTGTAGTATAAAAGCACTAAATGCTAAAAGGTCTTTGTACTGCCGCTACAGCCGTAAAGCCTCAACATGAAACACATGGTCTTATATTGCCTGCAGCCACAGTGTCTAAACATCAAAATACATCAAAAACATCAAAATACATGGTTCTTGCACTGCTTGTAGTCGCCAAACCTAGAAGATAGATATCTAGTACTAATATTACTATAGCCATAGAGCCTACTATAAGAAAATAAGATCCTTGCCCTGCTTCTGCAGCTGTGGTGCCTAATATCTGCTATTTCAGATCCTTGCACTGCAAAGGCAGCCATGGAGCCTGACTTACCTACAAACGGAAAAACCCTGGGGGGTGGGTTAGGGACAACAAAGCCAGCCTCTATACTAAGGCGAGTGATAGCAAGAAGAAAGATGAATCTCTTAATATATACACATACAGCTTAAATACTCTTAATTATCAAACAACTGATTTATCGCATCAATATTAACATGTGAAAATAAAACTTTCTATTATTCCTAGCCCATTAATTTTTATCTGAGCCACCTATATATACAATACTCAATCTAACAATCGCTAAAAAAACTAGCATTTAACATGATATACATAACAATCAATAAAACAAATTTAAAAACATGTGACCAAAAAAAAAGTCATCTGATCTCGCAATAATGTATGTCCTGTTACTTTATTGACAGGCTTCCACTTTTATCCCTTAAACTGTCTAGTGTACAAATTTGTACACTAAAATGATTTTTGATCTATTTTTGTCTATTTGCTCTAATTTTTATTAAACAGTACCTCCTATTTTCTAAGCTAAAATAAAAGTGTACTGTTTGTTGGTTATAGCATAATTCCCATTTCATGAAATTTCTTTAACGATATTTCAAAAATTATTTATTTAACATTGGCCGTAATAGGACTTTGATGTCCAAATTTAATACTAAAAAAGAAACCTGCACATGATACTTATAAAGATTCCTTACAATCATCACACACGGGTCTCTTATATAATATAATATTTAAAGTTTATCAAAAATTCTTTAAGACCAATTCTA